TCGCCACCACCATCATCATCACCTCAGTAGAAAGAATGAGAATGCACTGACAGTACAATTGACGCACACAAAAATTATTAATATATGGAGATGTGAAGACATTTAAAAAACTGATAAACTGTAAACATTAAAGTTAACGCATCGCAGAAATTGTAGGGGCACATACGTATAGGCAAGTAATCCAGATAATGAACAAAAATTTACTGGTATGCGATAGAACGGTCATGCTGATGCATTAGGAAATACTGAACCAAGTTATTCATCTGCCGTCGTCCGATGCACGTTCCATTGATATAGAAATCGGTAACATTTTCGCATATTTAAGGAAAAATTCACCATCAATCTGCTATTTCACGGTTCATAGCTTACGCAATTTTCACATCTCCCGAGAATTTTGGCCTCACGTTGAAAAAGGTGTGGTCATGTCCCGTCGAAAGAGCCGTGACTCGGGAGCTGGAGTCGTCCCTCCTCAGTGCTGCTGCGTGCTCGGTCATCCGTGTTCGGAGCTATTTTCCTGTTTCGCAGGCCTATTTACGGTGTCTACAACTGCAGTAGACCCAGCAAACGATTTCATACGTTTCCTGCCATGACAATGAATCTGTCGGTTTCATGAACTGACACCTTTCGGTTGGCTTCAGTCAGTGCTTCACATTAAACTCAAGGAATGTAAAAAGGAGTCTGACGGCTTCTGAGACGTCATTGACGTACTGAAGCTCTCACCAACATGTTGGGCTAGTGCGGTTTGTCCTCTTTTATCGTTTGCGCATTCACTGGCTGACGAAGTTGCATGGGTAAACATGCGTTGTGAGCACCTGCCAAAGTTAATGTTATTCAGTAACCTTGTCGTCCAGTTCAATCCAAAGCGTCTCAACACCTCTGCTAAGCGTCCTTATGTACCTGTGTTTATGGCTGATTGGGTGGCTGCTGTTGTAACTCAGCACTCATGCCGTATTTGGCGTTTTCCTGAATAACTTGATTTTTAGGCCACAACAACCTTTTCGGCAGTCGAGGACATCAAGTAAACCTGCTGACTATTTCCCACCTCCTCCTTCTCCTTCCCCACCA